TGTAGTCTATCTATTCACCTCACTGATTGTTTCTTTTGCTGAGAAGAAGCTTTTTAGTTTGAATCCATCCTATTTATTGATTCTTGGTTTTAATTCTTACACTATAAGAGTCTTATTAAGGAAGTTGGGGCCTAATCTGACATGATGGAGATTTGGGCCTACTTTTTCTTTCCATTTGGGGCAACGTCTCTGGTTTTATTCCTAGGTCCTTGATCCATTTTGAGTTGAGTTTTGTGCATGGTGAGAGATAGGAATGCCTTTTTCACCACTTCTGTTTAACATAGTTCTTGAAACTCTAGGCAGAGCAATCAAACAGATGAAAAAAATTAAAGGGATATGGATAGGAAAAGAAGAAATCAAATTATGAATTCAGCAAAGTAACTGGATGCAAAATCAACACCAATACTTAACTCTTCTTAAAGGAATGAATGCTTTAGGGAAACAATGCTACAATTCTTACGGGGAGTGGGGGTGTGTCTTCCTGTGTGACAGAAGTTAGAAAAGGTACCTGGCAGCCTGGGAAACCAAGGGTGGAGCAAAAGGGAAACTCAAATACTATGGAAAAATTGGAGTTGGGATTGGGATTTGGGCCGGCGGCTTGTTTTGGCCCCGGGCGGGTTAACCGTTGGGACGGCAGCTCAAAAACCAGGAGTGTGCTGTATTAATGTTTCATCTGGGGGCTTACAGATCAGATGCTATAAATTGCTTAGATCCAACTCTCTAGATTTTCTCTAGACAACTTGAGTTTAAGAACACTGGATAGTCTCATTTGAAGTCTAATGCTGGATTGCCTCCATGAACTGAGAGGTGGGGGAAGGGAAGGCTAGTTGATAGCTTTGCCTCCTTTTGAGATAACATTTAAACTCTCAGATGGATGGAAAATTTACTATATGTTTCCCCTGTAAAAAATAGGGCCACCATTTTCCCTGATTGTCAGGATTAGCCATATTTCTAAATAATCTATATTTCAATTTCTCTCTTTTTTCTTCCTTGGTTTTCTTTATTAGAAAAGAAAACCTCATGTTATATAATACTTTTTGTTGTTTCTTTTCTGTAGTTAATGGGTTGTTTTGAATGTGTTTTACTGAAATTTGCAAACAGCATGTGAAAGTACACTAAACTTTTAAGTTAAATTATCCTGAGCCCAAACTAAGGTATTTAAATTAATCCTTAACTAAGCAAACCTGGGCTTATCAGACTCCACTTCCTTTCAGTGCACAAATCAAACATTGAAAAGTTAGTATTTACAAGTTACAGCCCTTCTTTTCAGGGTAAATATAATGTGCCACAGTTTCCACTATCAGCATGAGAAACAATAGCCTGTTGTCCTAGGAATAATTATAAATTCAAGGCAAGCAGGAAGATTGATCATGATTGCATTGTGCTTTTATGATGTGTGCTCTTTCTCCAAGTTCTTTTTCTTTTTTCTGTAGTTAATGTTAATGCATCTGTTAAAAGTTGCAGATTTGG